ATCTTGTGCCTTTGATCTCCATCTCCAAAGCACCGTCATGATCACCATCATCACCGGCACGACACCTTGATCTCCATCGTAGCATCGTTGTCGTCTCGCCAACTATTGCTTCTACGACTATCGCTACCGCTTAGTGATAAAGTAAAGCAATTACATGGCGGTTGCATTTCATACAATAAAGCGACAACCATATGGCTCCTGCCAGTTGTTGATAACTCTGTTACAAAACATGATCATCTCATACAATAAAATATAGCATCATGCCTTGACCATATCATATCACAACATGCCCTACAAAAACAAGTTGGATGTCCTCTACTTTGTTGTTGCAAGTTTTACGCGACTGCTACGGGCTGAGCAAGAACCGTTCTTACCTACGCATCAAAACCACAAAGATAGTTCGTCAAGTTAGTGTTGTTTAAACCTTCAACAAGGACCGGGCGTAGTCACACTCGGTTCAATTAAAGTTGGAGAAACTGACATTCGCCATCCACCTGTGTGCAAAGCACGTCGGTAGAAGCAGTCTTGCGTAAGCGTACGTGTAATGTCGGTCCGGGCCGCTTCATCCAACAATACTGCCAAACCAAAGTATGACATGCTAGTAAGCAGTATGACTTGTATCGCCCACAATTCACTTGTGTTCTACTCATGCATATAACATCTACGCATAAACCTGGCTCGAATGCCACTGTTGGGAACGTAGTAATTTCAAAAAAAAATCCTACGCACACGCAAGATCATGGTGATGCATAGCAATGATAGGGGAGAGTGTCGTCCACGTACCCTCGTAGGCAGTTAAGCAGAAGCGTTATGACAACGTGGTTGATGTAGTCGTACGTCTTCACGATCGATCGATCCTCAGCATCAAACGTACGACACCTCCGCGTTCAGCACACGTTCAGCTCGATGACGTCCCGCGAACTCACGATCCATTAGAGCTCGAGGGAGAGTTTCATCAGCACGATGACGTGGTGACGATGTTGATGAAGCTACCGATGCAGGGCTTCGCCTAAGCACCACTACGATATGACCGAGGTGGATTATGGTGGAGGGGGGCACCGCACACGGCTGGGAGAGATCAATGATCAACTTGTGTGTTCTAGGGTGCCCCCTTCCCCCGTATATAAAGGAGCAAGGGGGGAGGCCGGCCGGCCCTGTAGGGCGCGCCAGGAGGAGGAGTCCTCCTAGTAGGAGTAGAACTCCCCTCTTTCCTACTCCTACTAGGAGGGGGAAAGGAACGGGGAGAAGGAGAAGGAAAGGGGGCGCCGCCCCTCCCCCTTCCTAGTCCAATTCAAACCAGAGGGGGAGGGTCGCGCGGCCTGCCTTGGCCGGCCCCTCTCTCTCCACTAGGGCCCAACAAGGCCCATTAACCCCCGGGGGGTTCCGGTAACCCCTCCGGCACTCCGGTAAAATCCCGATTTCACCTGGAACTCTTCCGATGTCCAAATGTAGGCTTCTAATATATCAATCTTTATGTATCTACCATTTAGAGACTCCTCATCATGTCCGTGATCATATCCGGGACTCTGAACTACCTTCAGTACATCAAAACATATAAACTCATAATACCGATCATCACAGAACTTTAAGCGTGCGGACCCTACGGGTTCAAGAACTATGTAGACATGACCGAGACATGTCTCTGGTCAATAACCAATAGCGGAACCTGGATGCTCATATTGGTTCCTACATATTCTACGAAGATCTTTATCGGTCAAACCGCATAACAACATACGTTGTTCCTTTTGTAATCGGTATGTTACTTGCCCAAGATTCGGTCGTCGGTATCTCAATACCTAGCTCAATCTCGTTACTGGCAAGTCTCTTTACTCGTTCCTTAATGCATCATCCCGCAACTAACTCATTAGTCACATTGCTTGCAAGGCTTATAGTGATGTGCATTACCGAGAGGGTCAGGGGATACCTCTCCGACAATCGGAGTGATAAATCCTATTCTTGATCTATGCCAACTCCACGAACACCATCGGATACACCTGTAGAGCACCTTTATAATCACCCAGTTATGCTGTGATGTTTGGTAGCACACAAAGTGTTCCTCCGGTATTCGGGAGTTGCATAATCTCATAGTCATAGGAACATGTATAAGTCATGAAGAAAGCAATAGAAGTAAACTAAACGATCAAGTGCTAAGCTAACAGAATGGGTCAAGTCAATCACATCATTCTCCTAATGATGTGATCCCGTTGATCAAATGACAACTCATGTCTATGGCTAGGAAACTCAACCATCTTTGATCAACGAGCTAGTCAAGTAGAGGCATACTAGTGACACTATGTTTGTCTATGTATTCACACATGTATTATGTTTCCGGTTAATACAATTCTAGCATGAATAATAAACATTTATCATGATATGAGGAAATAAATAATAACTTTATTATTGCCTCTAGGGCATATTTCCTTCAGCAAGTCCCCCGAGTTCTTTAGGTTTGCAAACCATCTGCCAGTTTGCAAGGCAATTACCTTTCTTGTTTGATGTCCTTTCCATGCCAGAGAAAGTTTCCACCTGCCCTGTTTACATGTTCTAGTACAGTGACATGAATTCTGAAAGTGCACATTGCAAATATTGGCATGGATGCAATTACTGAGTTAACATATGTGAGTCTGCCAGCATAGTTCATGAAGTTTGCTACTCCAAAAACTTTCCTGTCAATTCTTGAGATAATGGGCATTAGATCATGTACTAAGGGCTTGGTGGTACCAAGTGGAAGGCTTAGATAAGTGAAAGGCAGGCTCTCTACTTTACATCCAAATGCATCATTCAATTGATTGATCGTATCATTATCAGTGTTTATTGGAACCATCGAGGATTTACTGTAGTTCACAAAAAGCCCAGTGGATGGGCTGAAGATCTGTAGTAGTGTTTTGAGATGCATCACTTGGTCAATATCATCACGCATAATCATAAGCGTGTCATCAACATATTATATGATAGGATATTGCTGTTCATAAGCACAGTTGAAAGGAAGAGTTATTTCACCATTTCTCCATGCTTCATTGACAATAGATTGCAGTAGATCGGCCACAATCACATATAGTAGTGGAGAGAAGGGGTCTCCTGGTCCCACACCACATTTGCAGTGTATAATTTTGCCAGCAACTCCATTAAGTAGTACTGAAGTAGTAGCAAAATTCAGAATTCTTGTGACCCAATTGATCCACCTCGGTCCAAATCCTTTTGCATGCAGCATTACAATTATAGCACTCTGTTCCAGCTTGTCGAAGGCCTTTTCAAAATCAAGTTTCAGTGTAATAATGGGCTTCTTTGATTGATGGCAGATGTGTAAGTATTCAAAAGCAAATCCCAGACAATCTTGGATATTTTTGCCCTTGATGAATCCATATTCATTTTGATGTATCATTGGGATTATCTCTTTCTGCAGTCTATTAGCGATAACTTTGGTAAACTATTTGAGTGGTAGACTTACTAGGGATATTCGCCTATAGTCATTCATGGTTTCAGGTGACTGCTTTTTTGGAATAAGTGTAATGTATGCAGTGTTAGTACCGTGAATGTCCATGTCACCCTCAAAGAAATCCCATATCATGTAGTAAAAGTCTTGTTTGATGATGTTCCAGCATTTTTTGAGAAATAATCCATTGAAGCCATCAGGGCCAAGAGCTCTGCTAGTTGGAAATTCTTTAACCACATTTTCAATTTCATCAACAGAAAATTGTTCATCTAAATGATTAAGATTATGTGGCAGAATGATCTCCAAGTTAATGAGTATGATGGGATTGATGGATGTACCCAATATGTCTTTGTATGCTTGCCATATAATTGTTGCTTTTTTAGCATGATCATGAAATATATTACCACCCTCTGTAGTAATGGATGAGATGTAATTTTCTTTGTATCTATGTGTGGCTATGGCCTGCAAAAAATTAATGTTTTCATCTCCACATATGATCTTCCTCATTTTGTATCTGCTTTTTTAGTAGATTCTCTTATCAATGAAAAATTTAGCGCTCTTATATTTCTTTACAGAGGGGTACCAAATAAATGCTTAACAATAGGATGATAGGTAAATCATGATGACTGCTTACAAAAACTTACTAAAATTTTATCACACCAATGTAATAATAAATGTGCAATTACAGGATAATCTACTAAAAAAATTACGTGTTGCAACGCGTAGGCAATTATCTATCTATACAAATGGTTGAGACTAGCAGCGAACGTGCAGTGATGAAAACCTGAATGTACCCTTAAAAGCCTCTAGTGGTCGAATATGTTCCTAATATTTCTTACTGTACATTTCTTATAAGTTATAACTACTACTTTTTCGCAAAAAAAGTTATAACTACTACTTCCTCCGTTCATAATAAGATATTTTGAATATTTTAATATAGCCTATATACAGATTGAAATGAATAAACAAACACACTAAAATATGTCCATATACATACGATTCAGAAAAAAAATCAAAACACCTTAGTTAGCACTCCCTCCTTCCCATCTTATATTATGGGACGGAGGGAATATTCGGAGTATTTTTTTACTGTAAATCTACCATAAGACACAGGGAATATTTAATTTCTGATGCTATATATAGTCCCTAAAAAGCAGCTAAAACGCCCAAAATCCCCACGGAGAAACACAGCCCCATGGAGAAGGACAACGTTCACTCGTGGCCGTGCCGACGTGGATCCAATAATTGTTGCGGGCCCACACCTCCACCCGAAGCCGATCTGACGAGCCGTTCCGGGCCCAGGCACTACTCACAACTCCCTCCAAACAAATTGTATATTTTGAAGTCCTTAAAACCTTTTTGTGCTCGATGACATGCGGGCCAGAGCAGCCTCCGACCAACTATTTCCCAATTTATATACTCGAGTGAATTTGCTTCCCCCTCTCTACCCCCCCTCTCTCTCTCTCTCCTCTCTCCCGTTCAAAGTCGTCGTCTTGCTCTCGAGCTGCTTGATTCGATTCTTATCAATCCACCATCCTCCGTAGCTGCAGGTCCGATCGTGGCGGTTATGCCATCGGCAGCGCTGGCTGCCACGCCGGACTCTCCGTCGCCGTCGCCGCACCACTACCGCGGCCGGTTACGCTCGCCGCTGGCAAACGGCGGCACCAAGGGGAACTTCGAGCTCCGGCACTGGCGCACGCCGCTCAAGCGGGCTCCGTCGTGCCCCCCGCCGGGGATCGAGATACCCAGCAACGACGACGATGGCAGCGGGAACGGGTACACCAGCCTCCGGGACATCCTAGCGTCGCCGCGGTACACGGGGGCAGGGAGCTCGCCGGCGGCCTGCGTCATCGGTGGCGCCGGCAGCTGTGGGGACATACACATGATACGCCACCCGCTGGTAAAACACGCGGCGTACGCGTACCTGCAGATGACGCCGTCGGCGAGGGAGGACCCAACCCGCCGGAACCGGCGCTGGCGCAGCCCGCTCTGCCGCCTCCTGTTCGGCTGCCTCAGCTTCATCGGAGCACTCTTCCGGCCGTGACTTCTCCTGACGGCGCACCTCCATGCGGTTCTTGTTGCACCTCCGTGAATTCTCTTTGATTTCTCTTTTCTTCTTTTCTTTTGTGCGATTAGATTCTTTTGTAGAGTTTGCCGGCTTATGTTTGGGTTGTAATTTGTGTGAATAATTTGGTAGGATTAGACACAAAGAGGAATGATAGCAACAAGAGAAATGATTAATGTCATACTACTAACAAAGCTGATTAGTCGTCATGAACTCATGATTGATGCAATAATGGAATGATCAGAACACAAGCATGTGGAGGAAAACAATTGAAGTAAATTGATCCGGAAAAAAAGAGACAATAAATTGCTGTCACCACAAGTCTACAACATGCTTCATTCATATCTCTTCACACTGGGTTAATTGCTGGATTGTTTTTCTATGTACTAGATTTCTTCTTTCAATTTGACCTTTGCTTGAATCATTCTATTTCTATGTACACAATCATTTCCTTACACCGGTGTAAAATTCCATCCCTCTCCTCTAATAGTCCTTGTCATTATGAGCTCGCCGGGGCTTAGGGTTGATGGCCGCGCGCAGAACTTCAGCGACAACTGCAGCATCAGGGTTGTCAAAGAGAGATTCCTGCGGCGGCGATGGCGGCCGACGTTTAGTCGCAAAGGGACTCCAGCTAGACTTCTTATTCCTCTGCTGAACACGCACAATCAGAAAAGAGATGAAACTGCTGTCAATACCACTTGTGCTCAAATTGTTTCCAGTGCATTGTATCTTATCATATGATTCGTGCACGTGATTTCTATAGCTGACAGGCAGGATGTTCAGGATATTTATCAGATAACAACATACATACTTGATTATATGAGGGAATTCCAGTTTTTACCCCTGGTTTCACGTTTGTGGTAGGTTTTACCCCATTTAGCAGAAATTCTCAATTTAGCAAAACTTGTGCCACAAATTACCCCATTTCATTTTATTTTTTATTACTCTGCTGACTGTGTATATGCCACGTAGATGGTTCCGTTAGCACCCCTGTGTTTTCTCTGGTGCGCTCCGGTCTTTGGATGATCAAACCAATGACACAATTGAAGACTGGCCGCCCTACGCCGGGGAGCTTGCCGGTGACATTTTCCCCTGAAGCAGAGATGCGGGAAGGGTTATAGGGGTGGAGGGGATACAGGAGTAACTGTTCGGGATATACCGAACTAGTTGGAATAGGCTCAGTGGCCATGGCAGCATGTCCTGCCAGATGCGAGTTAGGAGGCGCATGCGGCCTAAATTGGACCGGGGGGGAGCTCCAAGGAGAGAAGACATCTCACAGGAGAGATGGGAGCAGCATGAGCAGCGCCGGTACCGGCCTATGGCGGTGGCACATGCCGACCACGGCATGGAGACAAGGGAGTTTGAGGTGTACAGGGTGCCACACGCGGCTAACAGGAGTCAGGCGTCTCCCCTGCTGCTCTGGTCAACAGAAAAAACCAGCCAAAATAACCAGAAAAAATAAATAAACTGTCGATGTGGCATGCGTGGTTAACAGAGAAACTTAATAAAATAAAAGGGCACCAGTTTCGCTAAATTGAGTAAAAATTAAGAATTTCTGCTAAATGGGGCAAAAGCTGTCACAAACATGAAACTGGCGGTAAAAAATGGAATTCACTCCAATTATATCAACAGTCATGAAAATCAGGGCAATGCAAGAATGAAGAGAGCAAAATTACAAGATGGGAAGGTGCAGTAGTAACATGACAGGAATTGGACAGGAGATTTGGTCTGTGGAACGGGACGAATCAACAAACGGTTCCGTTGTGTCTTTGGCTCTTGTGCAGACAATACCCACGTTGCCTGGGGAAATGGTTTCCCCCTGTTTACAATACAGCAGGTTGCGGCGTCGCTATCCGGTGGGCCGACGCTGAGTGCTGACAACGGAAGGGGCCTATGGCCTTGGTTGAGATCGGGGTGGAGGACCGGGTCGTTGGCTTGGATGGGTTGGATAATGCTCCTGTCTGATTGTCAAAGTGGGGTAGTGAGAGGGAAACAAAGGAAATAGTGGTTTGGCAAGGTTGGGGCTGTTGCCCTCTTATTCAAAACACTCTGTTTTGAGATTACGCTGGTTGGAGTTTATTCAAAATGGAATGGCAGGTGGTGTCATGGCTCATGGGAGATCTGCTGCAGTACATCATAGTAGGACCGCAAACTTGGTAGCATCCAGTGGCTAAGTTGCATTGGAGTTTCAACTGTTTTCCTTGATATCACTTTGAGTAATTTGCACTTCAAGAATAGGATAAATGAAAATAATTACCGATGGCAAAATAGTTTTTGGTAGTAAATAAATGCTTATTTAACTGTGGTACTTTGCTTGCTAGTGTATCCCAGGATACTTAGAACTACATATTCCTGAAAAAAACTATATGTAGTCGAGTGGGGCCTTTTTTGGTAAGAACTGATGGTGACACTTGATATTTAAAGAAGCTACATATTTCATGTACTGTGACAATCCTACGATTTCTCTGTACAAGATATAACAATGTTAAACTACGCTATATGCATAGCAGCAATCAGTTCTCTTAAATTTGTAGTAAATTGATCATGAGTTCTCCCGATAGTACAATGCTCAGGAGATGAACTTAAACTGGCAACAGACCAATCTTTATGACAGCAAGTGCATGGTCAAATTACTCCGCAAAAAGATTCACACCTCAAAAAGGGATATGCATTCTTTAAACCTATGCAGCCCTTGACTACCTCATGCATTAAATTTACCAAGAACAAATCACCTGGTAGATGAAAACTCTAATACAGTGCATGTTACAATGACAGGGGGGATGCCATTACCTCTAGATTTGATCCTTCGGCCTTGTCAGAGACCACATAACGCAAGACATCCATGAAAAATGCCGTCCCTTTGTCAGCACAGTTCTTAACATAGAAGCTAAGTAACTGCCCAGACTTTGCCCTCAGATGCAGTAACCTCTGCTCGATGTTTGGTTCATATTGCATCACAATGGGCCGAAGAAAGGTGTCATATACAACATCACTGCCCTGCAGAAATAATTGTATTAACACAGATGTTAGTTGTTACTTACATGCACTTGAGGAATTTAAAAGCAGAGTAAGTTCCATTTCACCCCCTGCTAAACATCACAATAAACGCCACTGAACCCCCCAGAACAACAAAAGTAGAGAGTGTTTAAGCCCCAAAACTTGCAAAGCCAGGTTTACATACACCCTAAGGTTTTTGTTTTCGTTTTACCAAAAAGGCAGACACTGTGCTGTTTCATTAAGATAGAGAAAGCTAAAACCAGAGTGTCATGTACAAGGCACACTGAGACAGTTTTTCGAGGGTGTGTGCTGACAGACATCCAATTCAAGGTGCATGTTGCCATTTAGACAGCCACATCACCCATTTTTTATGACAAGAAAGTATCTTACTATGTTTATATAGCCACATCACCAGGCCTTTACTTCCTTATATCTCCTGGTTAGGAAAAAATGGTGATATGACTACAAAATGGCAAAAACTACCCATGAATGGACCATCGTCAGCAAAGCAGCCCTCATTAGACGGTCCCATGGTGAAACTTTAACCTACATTTTTAGGTTCTCGGGAATTAACACCCACTTTATTGTTCATGGATTATGTGGCCT